GCGGTCGCCCAAGCGATGACCTTGGAAGGGTATGCGATTGTAGCACGTTTGTCCCCCGGTTGTGCCCCTGTCTCAAATGCCACGGTCCGTTTCTCCCAAGTGCCCGTCTTATCTTCCCGAGTATCAACTCCGCAGTGATTCTGAATCATTCCGATGCTTTCCAACGTTGCAAAACTGTTAGACGAATATTTGCACAGAAGTATACACTGTTCGCAGAACTATCTACGGCGCTAAAATTCAAAAGCGCCGTGTTGGATTTGGGAACTCGTGTAGGTTTAGCTCATTGTTGGAACATTCTTATTCGCTCCATGAATTCCACAAAACGTGTAAATATTAGAATGAACTTTCCAGAGAACGATAGTTGTTGTCGGGGTTCCAGGCGACCGGACAGGTTGCAATTATTGGCTGATTAAAAATTTTATTTCATAATCACAATCGTATCATCAAGGGCACGCCATTTCCTCATCACTTCTTCTACGAAAAGAGCTGCTGTATTGGTAGCACAGACAGACGGAAACGGTTGAGACTGTGCCCAAATAATATCTTCTTTTGGCAGGTACTGCGCAGCGATTACACACAATGCCTCTAACATAAACATGCTGCTCCACATGTCTATTCACAAGATGCAATACATCGTTCTCCCAACTTTGTTGAAATGGGCATGAAAGCGCGTAACCGTCACTTTTTTTAAGTTCTATTTAGAGGTGAAGTGTTTACCGTAAAAAGTCGTTAATTATTTATTTTTTTCCGTTCCACTACAAAGCTAGATTGACTTAAATTTTTGTTTTTATATCGTCTCTACAGCGCTTTTACGTCGGTACTTTCGTGTTAGAGGACATCACATAATATGCGAAAAAAAAACAACAAAAAACGGTAGGATCGATGCTGCATAGCCTTTTTTTTTGTGGACATCAAGAAAAAAAAAAGATAGTAGTTGTCTTCACTTCGCACTGCATGTTTTAGCACGGAAGTTCCTATTTGGTTATGATGTCTTTATTTTCTTAAAAATTGTATACAGTAATTTAAATTACCGAATTACAAAAACGTCGAAATTGTATAATTGTTTTTCGTTGGGACGCCATGACGACAGCGACACTCGTGTTTCCTCGTGGTTTTCGCCAGCATTTCTACGATGAATTGCCAGGATCGCGATATGCTACAGCGTGACACTCCGTCTTCTGTGACGTCATTTTTTGCACTTCGGGACCACTTTTGATGTATGGCCAGCATAAGACGCTAAACACACCAGTCGGAGACGCGCTGCAGGTGCCATAGTACTGCTCCTAAAAGTAGCTGTCACGTGCTTTGCTCCGCGACTGTGATTCCCTCACAGCAGCTCTGACTGAGGGTTGCCAAATTACGGTGAAACGGAGTATAGACAAAACAGACCGGAGACGAGCTGCCAGCATACGATAGTCAAACTCCAACAAAAAGGATTAGTTTCTTCCCAAGCTGGACGACATTTACCGGGCATCTTTGGAGCTGCGAAGCTCAAAATCACGCGTACTCATAAGATTTTTTTTTTCTCGCGTGTTTCTGATTTTTATGATGTCCTGCAAGCAAGAAAAAATATATATATGGTGAAGTCACTCCGAGGGGGTACCGATAACTGCGAGCCACGAACATGAAGGATTCGCTAACATCCGTCAGGAGTGTGAACGGTAAATCGTCACGCAAACATATTCTCACAAGCTGCAAATATTTATTTGGCTTAGCAAGTAGAATACTAGTATACTAACGACATGTGATTATTGTACACAATATACCATTTCTCGGTTCTTCAAAACCATTTCCCTTGTCTGAACGGTCGCGCTACGGGCCGCGGCTAGCCGTGCCCTCGATAGACTACGGAGCTGCGTTGTGTCGTCTGCTACTGTACCGCCAACAGGAGAGCGATAGCTCTGTGTGCTCCACAGATGTGTGTTGCGGTATAACTCTGTACGTCTGTCCTAGAGGAAGACAAAAAGAGAGGCTCTGTGACCCCCTCCTAAGCTAACAAAAACAAACAGAAGTATACTCGTTTGGACTGAAAGGTTTACAAAATAGTGACCAGACATTGGAAAAGCATATGTCACAGAACTTGGTTTATGAAATTGCATCATTGTTTCGAGCAAGAAATCACCTGCTCACCACTGGGACGATGAAATCGTCACTATTTATTGCGTCAGGTATATTTGCGCTCATGAAGAAAAATCTGAACACATCCTTCTCCCAAAGTCCTATGTCGAATAATAAACACTTTTTTAAACATCTATGCACAAATAACTCATTTTTTTCTACACTTGTATATACACGTTAATTAAACGACGTCAAACCGCATTTTTGATTAGATCTTGATGTCTACACCAACTACATTCATATTTTTTAGGGCTTTATTGAACGATAACTTCAACTATAGTTAATGGAACACGATGGCTCGATCTCAACAAAAACCTCAACGTGCGAAGCTTCCGCAGACGGTCGCTTGCGAGTATTCTCAATGTGAGACTTCAGAAGCTTTCGCTTGCCATAGGGAGCTTGATTTCGACTACAGCACTGCACGGGCCCGGAAAGCGCGGAGCGCGCTGCTGTGTGGAGAGGTTGACTTACAAGATGACGTGTTACGTGGTTACGTAAGATGGCGTCATTTCGTGCAGCGTGATCACGTAAGATGACGTCATTTCGTGTAACAAGATCATGTAAGATGACGTACGTGTTTGTGTCACGTGATCACGTAAGATGACGTTAGTTCGTATGAACTGACGTCATCTTACGACAACGCCAACAACATTAGTGCTGTCCGGAACCATTGACCTTAGAAGTGCGCCTCTTCGCTTGAAGAGCTGATATGCGTTGATTGTTATTTGTTTCTTTTGCCTACTACAGACCATTCAAAAACTCGCCTTCTGGGTGCCACCAACTTCGTCTAATGGGCTGTGAAGCGCGTTCGAGCGTGCGCAATACCTCTCGAGGCCGAAAGATTGTACACTGAGTATGCGTTCACAGCTCAATGACTTAGGCATTTTTCGTCAGGATAGATGCTCCCACGAAAAGAGCGTAATGGATATGTGATTAGAATTGGAAATTTGAAATGTTCTTGTCCAATCGCATTTTTCTTTGGTTATCAACGCTTCTTAGCGTCATCACAAGACGTTCAACCCATAATACACTGGTGATTAAAAAATAAGCACCGAAAAACATGCACCGATTTTCGCTCAAAAATAAACACCGGAAAAAACATACCGTAATCATTACCCATGCCACCTTTTTGGGTGATATGTGAATTTCCAGAAGAGCAGCGAGTTATCACCCTCCCCTAGGAATACCCTGACTACAGAGCAGGCGACCCGTTTTTCCCCGCGTTAGATTGCGGTGACTACGAACCGTACGGAGGTCACAGGACGTCCGTGAAAAATAAAAAGGAGGCAAACAACGATCTACTCTGTGCACGCTTCATTCCCGATTTCCACGACCCCAAGGCCGAAGGACGTTTGTGTGAAGGATAACAATAAAATAAAACTTTGCGTCAAAAAAAAAAGCCCGTTTTTAAAAGAAAAAAAAAAGTAGAAACAAGCACAACGCTTTGACGGACCGCGAGGTTGTGGAACACCTCGCGGTCTGCTTGCCACAGGACGGTTGTCTTCGACCCATAGCTTCAATGTGAATTTGCCACTTGCGAAAACACGGAGACCTACCCAGCGAGAACCAGGAAAGTAAGACACGCACACTGACGCCTCGGCGTGCAGAATGAAACAGGATACGGGCGCGGAATACGGCCGCGGAAGAACACCTCGCACAGTGCCGATCCGGCCGATCTCCGAACGGACGATTTCGCATTTCGTGGACAGCGAGTGCCACCGCACGGGAGAGAGAGGTACCTTAAAAACGACGAAGACAAGCACCGACACCTTGGTTCTTTATATTTGCTGTAGTTACGGAACAAATCGACTTACATGAATAATTTGAATATTATTCGATTCCGTAATAAATTTAGAAGACATTACGCGCAATACTTCTTATGTTTGAATTTAGATAATTTTGTAAATTCGCTCCGAATGCAAGAGTGCCGAATTAGCCGATTTTGACCATTTTCATGATTTTTTAAAGAATATAATTAAATTTATGATGAAACATTTGTTGCCCTTAGTGTCTCGATAATGACTCAATGTCTTTAAAGCCGAAAATTTCAAGAAGATCCGCGCAGCCGTTATTATGTGAGAACTTTTTTAATTTGGTGAAAAACCTCATGTATTCTCTATAGGGCTCTGAGGTGCGCCCCCTCTTAACTCTTTCGCTACCGCGCCTATTCAAATCAATCAATTTGATCGACGCACTTCCAGTTCAAATTTTCGCTCGCTCGCGCGGTTTACGGGCGCCTAGCGCCATCTAGGTTAGAAAGTGGGAAACACAACGTGCTCCGCTATGTTTTGTTAGTTTCCTACTTTGCGGCGCTCCTCCCCGCGTCGCAAAAAGTTTAGCTTTGACGGGCGAGCGCTTCGATCATGGCGTCGTCATCGTGCGCGGGCGCTCCCAAAAGATGTCGTGCTTCTGGCCTTTCAAGCTCTTTAGGAGCCGATTTTGCGGATGCAATCAGCAGTAGTGAGACTGAAGATGATGTGGACACATCAGATTTCAGCACCGATGACGAGGATGCACCAACTCAAGCCGGAACATCCAGCGGGTGAGTGTCAGCTCTATGTGGGGCGCACATTTAGATTACTAATAAATAGTTATGACCGGCGGAGCATGTACTCACAGCTATATTATTTATTTTCAGGGTCTCAACGTCATACGGACATGATTCCTTGCCAGCAGCTGTGAAGCGCGTACAGTTTTTTCCTAAACGAAACCCGGGAGTCAAAGTTGGCGGCGCGTTCCGGAGTAGCGCACGGCGGTTCGTCCGGGCCGTCGATGTCTTCCAACTCTTCTTCACCGCAGAGCTAATCAACATGATCTGTGAGAACACAAACAAATATGCGTGGGCGCATATTTTAGAGAGGCAAACGTACACAGAAAAGGACGGCTCATGGAAAATGTTCAGTCCCAATGAAGTGATGCAGTGCATAGGAGTCCTGATCTACATGGGAATTGTGGAACTGCCTCGCCTCCATCTATACTGGAATACCTCGGAGTTATTTTCCGGCCTCATTCTTCCAAAGATTATGGCCAGAAGCCGATTTTTTGCGTTTCTTGCTTTTCTCAGTGTCATGGACCCGGAGAAGACTGACGCTGTCCGCGATGGCAAGCTGCACAGGATCACACATCTGCTGCAACATATGAATGACGTTCGTTCGTTCATCCACGCACAAATTTCGGTATGGCTGGAAATGCTGACATGACGTCAGCATTTCCAGCCATACCGAAATTTGTGCGTGGATGAACGAATGGTCAAATCAAAAGGACGATCGGGAATACGCCAGTATATGCGTGACAAGGGGGTCAAATGGGGGTACAAGCTGTGGGTCCTTGCTGACTCAAGCACAGGCTACACTGTGCAATTTAGCGTTTACACCGGGAAGCGAGAAACACCCAGCTCAAAGGGACTGGCTTATGACGTTGTAACGCGCCTGTGTGATGCATATTTGGATCAAGGCTACATTATCTACCTTGACAACTTCTACACATCCACCTCCCTCTTTGAACACCTTCTTGAGAGGAAGACTCTCTCTTGTGGAACAACGCGCAAAGATCGGCGCGGATTTCCCTCCCAGTTGAAAGACACCACTTGGGAGAAAAGAGCAACTCGAGGGGACATTCGCTGGCTGCGGTGCCATGATGTGCTGTATTTGCAATGGAAAGACAAGCGCACTGTAAACATGATGAGCACAGCCCACACTGCCAACAATCACGTCAGTGCAATGCGAAAAGTGAAGAGAGGAGACCGATGGACAAGGATCCCCATAAGGAAGCCACTCATAATAGAAGACTATAATAAGGGCATGCTTGGTGTTGACAAGTCCGATCAACTTATCGCTTCTTACAATGTCTTGATGAAGTGTGTCAGGTGGTGGAAGACACTGTTCTTCCACTGCATTGACATTGCTGTCATCAACAGCTTTGTCATCTTCCAAGAACACAGGGAACATCACCCCGAGATAGAGGAGCTCACCAGAAAGACTGGCTTTGACCAGCTCGCATTCCGTATTGAGCTGGTCAACCAGATTTTCGGGATGGACGACAGACATGTTCACCCTCCGCCTCCTCCAAAGAAGTCTGAGCACAAGCCCCAGGTGCAAGAAAAGCGCCGTAACTGCAAGCTCTGCTACGAGAAAAAGAAGGTCGAAAGGAAGACTGCAGTTTTTTGTGAGCCGTGTGGTGTGTATCTGTGTTTCATCCCAACGAGGGACTGCTTTGGAGGATGGCACGCCACACACCCACGCTAACTTTTTTTTTCGCGCAAAGAACGGTTTTCAGCAATACCCTCTGAAAATTGTGTTATCATTTTATGGCATAATAAGCTACAGAATGCATATCTTGAAATTTTTTCACTCTTGATATTTTTAGAGTTGTCCACCTTTGTCAAGCAGAACAACATCCTCACTGTATAAAGTTTTACATTAAAACATTTTTTTTATTATGTTGTGCAATAAATGTATATGCAGCATTTATGTTATCGAATAGAAAATTCTTTTAACTACATTTTGATACCAAACAATGTAAATAAGGCATTAGTGAATCTGCACCAAAAGATATTTCCTTCCACCTAGTAAAAACTGCCCTTTTTCCCGTGGTAGCGAAAGAGTTAAGGCCCGTTCACACTCTTGCGACCGAATACGACCGAGAGAGACCAGACCGGTTTTTAAGCCTCTTGCAATCTCTTAGGACCAGCTCCGCTGCATCGCATCCGGTCTTAAGAAGTCGCAAAAGGCTTAAAGACCGGTCTGGTCTTTCTCGGTCGTACTCAGTCGCAAGAGTGTGAACGGCGGTGACACAAAAAAGAAAAGAAAAACATTAACACAATGGAAACCGCAGCACGCATGCTGCGAGCCTGAGATATCAGTGTTGGTTCGTGGTTTGTACGACAGATTGAGGGCCCATCGTCTCATCTAAAGTGTCTAAAACCCCTATATGTGCCATGATCTAGAAAAACCGTGTTGCTCGTATGTTTCGACAGTTTTGATGCCAGTACACTCCACAGGTGACTTGTCTCTTAGCTGTAGATGAGAAAGTTAGCCGTTGCAGTGCAATCGCTAACCTGGGGTCTTTAACGTGCACCACGCAGTAGTAATTACACGAACCGTTGCCAATACCACAGCCTGCGCCGGTACGAAACTTATTCAGGTCGAAACGGCAGCGGGTGGGGGTAACTTCATTTTTTATTTAGAGTTCCGTCGGACGTAACTCGAAACGTTGGGGTAAAGTTACGTCAAACGTGACTTTAATTTTTATTTCAAGTTCTGTACGTAACTTTAATTTTCATATTGGGTTACGTTGGACGTTACTCGAATCCTTGACGTAACCCGGGTTCTGTCGGACGTAACGCTAGACACTGCATTCTGTTTTTACGATTAACATTGATAAACAAAAAAACGAAGGTTGTTGACGAAACTTCGCAGAGCAAAAGGGTATGGGACTCCCTTTCCGGAGGTGCATGGGGGACAGCGTGGCTTGTGTTGCTGGCTGGACGCTGCGAAGTGGCGTCTACGGCCGGGCCAAGTGGGTTAATAGTTCTGTAATTAGCAGCCGCATTTTGTCGCCACCAAGCGGCGTGAATGCAGGCGGGGGGGTGGTTTAACGAGCTCTCCTGTGATACACGCGTCGTCCGGCTTTTTTTCGGACGGCACTGCAGACACAACCTAAAAATCCGAAAACCGAGCGATTCGGCAAGCGACAGTGAGAAATCTCCGTTGCTCTTCACCGACTCCCGTCGCCTTTTCTGTCGCTTGCAAAATCGCTCACATGCGCTTCAGCCTTTACTGTAGCACTTATTTCGACCAAATGAAGTGTGTCATCAAAGTACTTAGAATCTGCACACTATCACGCAAGGCATTTTCTTTTTAATTTTTATCTGAGTATATACTCTTCAAAGACTGCTGTGTCGGAATATTGATTACCTAGGTTTCTCTCGATGGGCTTTTTTTTGAGAGGGACCCTAGTATGTGATAAGTTTGCCGCGAAAGAAAGGTGAAGAGAAGTGAGCTAAAGCAAAAAAGGCAATGTCTGCACGCTGAACCCGCACAGCGCGCTTGTTTGTCTCGAGTTCACTCGTTGCACGAAGCACTCCAAGAACTTTTTGACCCGGACTTGCAATGTCTTTCATCGATGCGCTCAGGTTCTTTGTTTCTGTGTGTTTAGCTTGTACCTCGCCTGCCGGCCTGGCAGGCACGCGCCGCTGAACTGGACTGTGTTTTGTCATATTCTGGACCGTTACATTTTGCATACAATTTTGGGAACCAGTTGGCGACTGAGCGGAGTGGCATGGTTTTGGTTTTGATAGAACAGCAGTCTCCACTCGCACAACGAAGCGTGTAGGGTGACCACCTACCTGCTAGTGAAATGCTGGACACGCAAGGGGGGAGGGTCAAGGAAATTCATTAACACATGCACCACGAACCGAGGCTCTGTTAACACATTTAATATCCTGTGCTGTTTATACACCTGCTAATTGTATTGCGCCCATTAAGCTCGATTAATTTTCACTCCCAGTGATATATCTTCTATGCCAAATGTGTTATTAATGTGTCGAAGTTGAAAATATAAAAACCGACTGTAGCAGAACTTAATGCATCAAATGGAAATAAGAAACAGTAAATCTTTTTCGGGCAATTGTTTCCTGTCAACGCTTACTTTTATCAACGTGGTCCTACACAAATTTTTAACATTATATTCTTTTTCGACCGTTGAGAGTTGGAGGCTTTTTTGCCGTTTATGGCTGCCTTCACTAAAACAAAAATCCACAGCAGCCCTTTCGCGTTGACACAGTGATTTCAAAATAATTACAATATTTTATATTGAAACCTTTGGTGAGCAATTCTTAAAATATTTTGCCAAGGGGAGAGGCACAACGGAGCATGCGCGTTGGTTCTCCTGCAATAACGACGGTTGCTTCCCACAATGCTCGGATAGAAAATGGTGTACCATTGCGATTTACACGATAACCAGTGACATCCGCGCTTCCCTGTGCCCCGTTTTTCGGCAACAACATGAGTTGCAGTGCGAATTTTGCTACAGTATAAAATGCGGGACATTTTGAAGATTTGAGAACTTCTTGCGGGACGCGGGACACGAGCCCTCAATGCAGGACAGTCCCGCGAGTCGCGGGACGGGTGGTCATCCTAGATGCGCGTGCAACTGCAACCTGCCAAAGTTGCCCTCATGTGCATGCGAACATGATTGCACGACAGAGGTACCAGCCGGGACGCTTGCAATTCATTGCTTTGCATTTGCTTGCTTTTGTCAAAAATCTGGCACGTCGGGAACCAGTAAAACGATGGCAAGCAGTTTTTTGGAATTGCTCGGCAATGCCTACAGCACTGTACACTTCTGGGATATCTCAATGTGTCTTTGCAGACATTGAAAGCGGACATTCATTGCTTCCGAAGGCACACCGAGGCTTGCAGCAGCCTTGCAGAAAGTTTCGAAAAGCAAAAGGAAAAGCACCCGCTAGTCGTACTGGACCTTTTTCTTGCGTATAGTTTCGCATTGCACTGCAGTAGTTAAATATGTGTTTATCAGTCAGAGACTGCTTCCCTTTATTAAATTATATAACTAGTCAACTTTTTGCTTTGATATTTTCTACTACTAAGCTGGTCATTTTCAAATAAATATAATATGTGCAGTTTGGCTCTTACTTATCTATAGCGGGTACATATATATGTATCATTTAACTGAAGCATTGCAAAATGTGTCATGTCATTGGCATTTCAGTTAACATGTTCAAAGAGTCTGAGGTAGTCTAACTTGACCATAATGTGTTTATTGCAACGAGCAAAGTGCCCTTCATTTGTCGAGCACTTAAAACAAATATTTTTATTTTTCTAAGAATATCTGCTCCAAAAGCCACTTTTGCTGCTCCACAACGGCTTAGGCCAATCACATCACTGAATGATGTTAGTGTGGGTTAGGGTGCTTGTACATAAGCTCCAGTGAGCGCATTCAGTAGCGGCCCCTTCAGCTCCGAATGGAGTCACGCGGCTCCTCAGCTGCTTTAGTGCGATTTCCGCTTCCTCCCCTGCCAGACGGTCTCCGAATAAAATGGAAGCAGACGATGCCGAGCACGATCGCTTTTATTTGACGCCTTTATTGAAGAAGTCTTGACAAGGTCGTTAAAGAAAAAGCGAGTGACTGTACCCATCAGCGCTGCTGTTTGAAGCGATTCAACGCCTTCGAGCCCTTCGCGGGGCGGTGCAAAGGCTGCTTCTGTTTTAAAAACCGAGAAAAACGTCGTCAGCACACCCAAAATATGGAGCTCAGTGAATCTCTTTCGCCGGTCGCGATACTTTGATACGGCCATGCGTTTGTTCTGCCCTTCATTACAAACTTCCTGTAAAATGTATTCGTATATACACGGGAAGTTCGGCCGCGCTCGGCGATCAAGATTTTGTCGGCCGAAGCGAGCATCAGCCAACGTACACCCCGATTTAGCTACGACAACAAACCATTAATCGGGATCATGCTCTGCGTGAGTGTCCGACCGGCTACCAAAGTCGCGTTCACTGCCTGCCTTGCTCTGTTCAGCGTGGAAAGGACTACCGTCGATATTCACCGAGTTTCCATGCAACGGCGATCAAGACAAGGCTACAAATAAACCATCTACGTTGTTTATTAGCATATTCAAACCGAACAAAATACGGTCCAATGCATTTTCCGAAAAGAGCCTTACCTGGAAAAAAAATACAAACGTGTTATTCGTCTTACCTTGAGAACTTTTCACTAACAAAAGCAATCAAACTGCACACCCGCAACAAAACCAACGTAACTTATCCTGCCATTTTATTATTTTTTTTCTCTTTTAGCGTTGGAATTTTGTCAGCGATCCGGAATTACATCATGTTGCGCCCCTTTCCCTTCTCATGCACCATCTCCGGAAGTCGGTTTTCGCCGTCTAGTGGAAGGAGCGCTGACTCCTTGACTCCTGGAGCCACTACTGAATGTGCTCATTGGGAACAGAGTTGTTCGTTCATCCATCTTGAAATTCAAAGTTATGCAGGAAAGTCACTATTCACGCATGCAGGTGCCATGCTTTGACGAGTACGGCTGGTGCTTTGAGCTCATACTTTTCATTATCACTTTGACGACCACGCCGCACTTGATTCTGTACTTGCAGGAAATATTTCGCCGAAGTACTATTTAGAAGATGAGCCATGCAGCACGACATGCAAAGAAACTTTCAAGTAGGTATACTTTTTCTCAACAAATTTTGTTTCGTGAAGAAGCACGCCCA